GAGTGGTGCACTCCTTTAATTCCAGCACTTAGGGAGGCAGAGGCAGGCTGATCTCTGTGACTTTCAAGGCCAGCCTGGACTACAGAATGAGTTCCTGGACAGCCAGAGTTACACAGAGAAACCCTGTCTTGAAAAAACAAACAAATAAAAAAAAAACCAACCCAAACAAACAAAAATCAACACACACCTAAATTAACCTGACCCAAAGACTATACAATCCAATGAACTTTTTTTTGTTTTTAAAAATATTTATTTATTTATTATGTATACAATATTCTGTCTGTGTGTATGCCAGACCTCCCTACAGATGGTTGTGAGCCACCATGCGGTTGCTGGGAATCGAACTCAGGACCTTTAGAAGAGCAGGCAATGCTCTTAACCACTGAGCCATCTCTCCAGCCCTCCAATGAACTTTTATACATTTAGCAAAGCTGCTTAGAAGTTGTGGAACTTCATATTTATCTAATATATATTTATTTTATTACCAAATATATTTTTATTCCACAACCAACCCCCCTCAAAATATCCATGACAGATTTAGAGATAGGAAAATAATTACATTTATTATTCTTTTTGATAAATTCTTTAAAAATTTAACTTTTAAAAGAGATTTTTAAACTTTAGGTGTGTATGTTTTGTTTCCGTATATGTTTGTGTCTACTGAACATGTTCACACCTGGTGGTAAGGCCAGAAGAAGGGGTGAGAGTCCATGGAACTGGAGTTACAGAAGGTTGTGAACTGCCATGTGGGTGCTGGAAAATGAACTCGGATCCTCACGAAAAACAACGCAGGCTTTTAACTGATCTCTCTCACTTTCCAGTCCTTGAAAATAGCTTTATTTTTACTTTAAGTTATTCCTAAGTATGTGTCTGCATATTGGTAGGAGGAAGGGGGTGGCTTGTTGGTTTCCAGCTTCCCCGGCTAGCTTAGACCTGAAATAATCACACAAAAACTATATTAATTAAATCACTAGCTTCTTATTGCCTAACTCATATCAATTCACTCCATTTCTATTAATCTGTATATCACCACGTGGCTGTGGCTTACGGGGTAAAGTTCTCAGCATCTATTTCTGGCCATTCAATGGCTACTCTCTTACTCTGCCTTCCTCCTCCCATGCTATAGACCAAGCCAGTTTCTTTATTCATTAACCAATAAAAACAACACATAGACAGAAGGACCTCCCACACCACATATCTGTGCATATGGGGGCAGGTGCCTGGAGTGGCTCTGGGTATCCTGGTGCTGGAGTTATAGGCAGGTGTGAGTCATCACTATGTGGGAACCAAGGAGTCAACTTCAGCCCTCTGAAGGAACAGCAAATACTTTTAACTGCTGAGTCATCTCTCTAGCCTTGTCAGAGAAAAATCTAAGACTAAAAAAAATTGCAGGAGGAAATACCTTGTACCAGCTGCAAGCAATTTGTCGAACTTCATTGCACATAGAAAATGTTTTTAAAACTTCAGGGCTGGAGAGATTACTCAACCACTAGCAGCATTTGCTGTTCTTCCAGAGGGCCTGGGTTCAGTTCCCAGCACCTACATTGATGTAGTGGTTGTGACATCCACTGGTACACATGTGGTACACATACCTACATAATTGGTGTGGGAGGTCCTTCTGTATATGTGCTGCTCTTATTGGTTAATAAATAAAGAATCTGTTTTGGTCAGTGGCTTAGCAGAGTAGAGCTAGGTGGGAAAACGAAACTGAATGCTGGGAGAAAGAAGGCAAAGTCAGTGAGACACTATGGAGCTTCCAGAGGAGAAAGATGCAATCTGCCAGCTGGAACCTTGCCAGTAGGTCATGAACCCTGTGGCAAAATATAAAATAATGGAAATGGGTTAATTCTAGATGTAAGAGCTAGCTAGCAATACCTTAAGCTATTGGCCAAAGAGTATTGCTATTAATACAGATTTCCGTGTAATTATTTTGAGTCTGGGCAGCCGTGAACAAACAAGCAGGCTCCTACACATGATGAGTTCCAGAACAGCCAGAGTTATATAGTGAGACCCTTTAAACAAACAAACAACACAAACCACTCATACATATAAAATAAACCTTCAAAAATGCTTAACCTCCTAAGTGAGGGCTAAGTGTGTAGCTCAGGATTAGAATCCCAGTCAGGACTGCAGCAACAGGAAAAATAATCCTTAAATTATCCTGAAAGTATGTTCACTAAGGTAGCAACTTAGTATCTTCAACTTCCTCTACTTCTGATCCAAGGTTAACATACACTGGAAGAGCCTGGGACTAGAATCTGGAACTCTAGTTTCATAGTGCACTGCATGTATGTATGTGCACAAGTGTGCCTGATGCTCAGGAGGTCAGAAGAGAGTGTAGGATCCCCCTGGAACTGGAATTACAAAAGGTTTTTTCAGTCACCGTGCGGGTGCTAGGAATTGAACCCAGGTCCTCTGGAAGGACAACCAGTGCTCGTAACTGCTGGCCCCTCTCTCCAGGCCCTCTGGTTTTAGTTTTGTTTTTCTTGCTCTGTATGCCTAGTCAGTTTCACTTATAGATGTAATTAATAATGTGCTTGTTGAGAACTGTCTCACCAGGCTATGAACCCTCTATGTTGCCTCCGTGCTGTTGGTAACACCTGTAATACACTCCACTGTTCACTACTTCTCATAACCCTGCCCACCCTCAAAGATCAATGACTTTGTCTACCTTTTCCAGATCCCTTCAGCCCATGTTGTTCTAACGAGGCCCAGCACTATTATCTAGAAAGTCCAGACCATTAAATGGCCTCTGTTGTCTGTTGTTGATGGTTCCAGGGAGGGAACCTGAGATCTTTCATTTGGAAGGTAAGGCCTCTTCCATATTCCCAGCCCACTGGTGTTCTTCTAATCATAGATTTCATGACTAGTATGTAAATCCTACAAAATTCAAGAGGAAGTGATGGGGGAGAGTCTTCTGTTTTGTGTTGATTTCACAACACAAACTGCTTGGCCCTCTGATAGGGTAGAATTTAGATAGGCGGAGTAAACAGAACAGAATGCTGGGAGAAAGAAGCCGAGTCAGGCAGTCGCCATGATTCTCCCACTCCAGACAGATGCAGGTTAAGATTTTCCCTGGTAAGCCAGCTCATGGTGCTACACAGAATATTAGAAATGGGTTAGATCAATATGTAAGAGCTAGCCAATAAGAGGTTAAAACTAATGGGCCAGGCAGTGTTTAAAGAATATAGTTTCTGTGTAATTATTTCGGGTAAAGCTAGCCATGCAGGCAGCTGGGTGCCAGGAACGTAGCCCACTGCCCTTATTACAACAAGGAAGGACATATTGGTATTGTTTTTGTTGTTGTTTTGAGACAGGGTTTCTCCATATATCTTAGGAGCCTGTCCTAAAATTCGCTCTGTAGACCAGGCTGGCCTCACACTCACCAAGATTTGCCTGCTTCTGCCTTCCAAATGCTGGGATTAAAGGCATGTGCCACCACTGACCATTTATTGGTACTTCTATTCTCCTTTATACATTCAAAACTAAATTGGCAGTTTCTTTAAATGGGGCAATGATATGAGAATTATGAAGACTGTTACCCACCCTGGACATTTCTGCCCCCATACAACATGCCAGTCACTGAAATGGGTTTTGCATGAGACAGTGACCAATCCCTCACAAATGAGAAAATCAAGTCTCTGAACAGTCTCACCTGAGGTTGGGTGTTACAGACTGAGGTGTGGGAAAAGGTGACTGGATTAAACTCAGCTATAATCATCATGATCCATGCAAGAAAGGGCATCAAGTGAAAGTACTTAACGGCAAGAGTGTCTAGCCTGAACGTTTGCCGGGCAGGAAACAAACTAAAACTCACTGCTTTATTCTTGTAGAAGCTGGTTGTCCTGGAACTCACAGTGTAGACCACGCTGGCCTCGGACTCACGGAGATCTGCCTACCTCTGCCTCCCAAGTGCTGGGATTAAAGGCTTCCGTCACCATTACCAGGCATTGCTTTCTTCTTAATGTTGAAGAACACGGACATTAATAGTTAAAGGATCCATGAAAACAGATAATGGACATTTCGGATGGGAAGCAGGTTGTGTTTCATGTGACGAAGTTTGGTAAGCGCTGTAATTTGGAAATTGCTCCTGACGCCATAGCACAGCACTGGTGTCTTATAGCTTCGTTTCCTTCCTAAAAAGTTTACTGGAGTTGATGTCTGCGTCTCAGTTTTAGCTAGCACACTCTGGAAGCAGCAGACAGTGTTTCCTGTCAACTTCTCAGAACCTAGCAGAGATGGAAAGAATAAAGCTACTGCTCAGTCTAAGGTGTAACTTGTGAGGCTTGTCGGTTGAAACTCACACTTGGGTAGGAAGAATAACACTTTCACCATAGGATATTGTGGTGTTTAGTAACCATTCATAGCTCTCAGCTAGTTTTGTTCTTAACTAGAAAAGCATCTCTAACCCCAAGCCCTTGTATCTTTCCACCTTGATTTTGCGCTTTCAGAGCTGAAAACAAACCAGAGCCCTAAAGTCGGCTTAGTCAGCACCGTCCTTCTGACAGAAGCTGGTGGACTTAGCGCTGGAGAAGGTGTTTGCTCTCGGGCTCTGATAAATTGATTATTCTGGCCCCATCACCAGAAGCCTTGACTCTACCAGCCTAAATGTTAGTGCACCGGGTTGGGTGAGGCAGGACGGAGGTAGCTCACTATCTAGCAATCTGGACAGTCATAGGAGCAGACCCGCTGCTCGCAACAACTGACGGAGCGGCGACTGCGGAGCCCGGGCTGACGGAGCGGCAACTGCGGAGCCCAAACCGGCACCACACGTAGGACCCGTCATCCCGCCACGGCGCTGGGTCAGCCGGGACGCAGCCAGGAACGAGTCCCACCGCGCAGGACGCCACCCCGCCGTCGCGAGCCTCAGCCAGGGGAACCCAGCAGCGTTGACTAGCCGGACCACGCCACGGTCACCGGGCCGCCACCCACCCGCTCCCCCCTCTCCAGGCCTCCCCCGCCTCCGGCCCCGCCCGGCCGCACCCCGGGCTGCGCGGCGTCACAGAGCGCATGCGTGCCGCGGGGGATGCCGGGAGCGCGCAGTGGCGGCAGCAGCAGCGACGGCAGTAACAGCGACCGCGCGAGCGGGGACACCAACGGGGCGGTGACCGTGTGGGAGGTGGTCTCACTCTTGGGGAAATTGCTGGGGACCGTCGCCGCGCTGAAGGTGGTTCTGTACCTGCTCCGGGTGTGCTTCGCGATGGCCTGGAAATCCGGCGGCGCCAGCCACTCGGAGCTAATCCACAACCTCCGCAGTAAGTGCCACCCCCGCCCGGCGTGGGCCACGGGGAAGGGCCGGGCCTGGACGCTCCCCCCCCCCCCCCACTGACCGTCCGGAACGTTCGGTCTGCACACCTGCGCCGGCTGGAGGGCGTTTGTGCGCGGTTGCACCGAGAGTCCTGGACGGCGTGCGTTTGCGGTCTCCTCCCCCGGGACCTGTCACTAGGCACTGTGGACGGGGAGGGGAGAGAAGCCACAAGGGGGGCTGCGGCGGGTGGGACGGGACGGCCGCCTCCTCTTCGCGGGCTGCGGGGACAGGGTGCGGCACAGGTGGCGGGGCTGTTGCTGGAGTCCGCGGTCCGTCCAACCGGCGAGGGGCGTGACTTCGGGATGGGGAAGTGCGAGCTTGTACTCCTGGTGACTGGGCTGGCACCGAGGGGACACCACCCTCAGCCCGAGGGTTCTCTCGCTGTCCTCCTCGGTAGATTTCCCCGAGCGAGTTTCTTCTGCTTCCCCCGCCCTCAGTTTTTTCCCTTGGAGGGAGATGCGGCTGTCTGATACCAGCCAGGGGAGGGAGAGGACGTTATGGGTATTGGGGTTACGGGTGGGTGCTGGAAGCACATTCTCAGGCCGCTGTCCAGAGTGCAGGCTCTTTGCGGGGAGCCAAGGGATGGTCTGTTAGGGCATACTGTTCCTGAGACTTTGTTTGGAACCTTTGTGAGGTCCTGAATCCAGTAGACCACGGTGTATATAAAATGTTGGTACTTTTTCTCAGGATCGTCCATTGGTTTTTAAAAGCGTGTATGAAACGTTTTTTTAAAAAAGCTAGCATTCTCTGTAGTCATGTAGCCCTTCCTTTGTTGATAGTTTTAGGGTACAGTGAATGCTGTGTCACTTACCTTTTTAAATTGAAATAGAGTGTTGTTCAGATACCAAGGCGAACTACAAGTTCATAATCTCACTCTAGTCAGAATTCACAGTTCCTTTTGCCCACCAGTTTTGAAAAAAAAAAAAAAACAATTATCATAGTCTTCCAGGTCATGTTCTTAATTTTCTTATGCTTTTTTTTTAAAGAAAAACTTTTCATGTGTTTGTCTTATTTTTCACCTCCATTCGTGATCTCCTCGAGGGCTAGAACCATAAAAAAAAAATAGAATTTTCTCAGAGTCAATACTCATTCTTTTCCCCAGGAATGCCAATTCATTGTCCAGTATATGCCAAGATCTTTGTAGGGAGCAAAAAGATGAATGAGAGAAATAAGTAGGACAGTCTGGTACTTAATATATACATCATTGCAGTTCAGAAATAATAACTAAATAAATAGTAGATATTTAGTGCTTTGTGTTGTTTAACCACAAAGTTAACCCTGGGACTTTAGACATGCTAGACAAGTGCTCTCCCTTGAGTTCCTGTCAGCTACAAAATGAAGGGCTTTTAATTGAAGTCTTAGGAATAAAATCAAGTTGATACTGAAGTAAAGGGATCTGCGAATTGGAAGCGGGGGTTACAGTTTTAATCCCTCCCCCCCAAATGTACTCATGCTTTGCTTAGTTTTAATGTTGTAATTCATTGAAAGTATTTACTTTTTCTTTTGTATTTGAAGACAGAAGTACTGTTTGATTTTTATAGTTGATGCATCATTTGTACACTTTGAGTTTGTGATGATACATTTCTTGTCATTCGTTGGCTTATGTTGTGGTAACTGTTCTTTGGTAAGTTTCAACAGTTTCTCCAAAGCTTGAGCTTACCCTCCAGTCCTGGATCATCTGCAGAGCTTGTTCAGCTACGAGGAGTGGAGATTTTATAGCTAACAAAATTTTTTTTTTAAATTTTTTTTTTGAGACAGGTTTTATCCCTGTAGTCCTGGCAGTCCTGGAACTCACTTTGTAGTCCAGCCTGGCCTCGAACTCCGAGGTGATCTGCCTGACTCTGCCTCCCCAGTGCTGGGATTAAAGGCACCAACAAGCTGGGTGGTGGTGGCCTTGGGGAGACAGAGGCTGGCGGATCTCTGTGAGTTCAAGACTAACCTGGTCTATAGAGTGAGTTCCAGGACTGGCTCCATAGCTACTAAGAAACCCTGTCTTGAAAAACCAAGAAAAAAAAAAAGGCTCTGACAAATTAAGTTGCATGTGTAGAGCTGTGAACCCAGGGACTTCATAGAGGCAGAGAATTGAAAATTGCAAAGCTAAATTCTGCTACTATTTCAGGTTTATCAGTTATCTATATTTATATATAGATATTTATATATTTGATTTTTGTTTTGTTTTATTTTTCGAGAGGGTTTCTCTGTAGCTTTGAAGACTGTCCTGAAACTAGCTCTTGTAGACCAGGCTAGCCTCGAACTCAAAGAGATCCTCCTGCCTCTGCCTCAGTTATATATTTTAAAATAAGGTTTTAGAAAGTCAGCATTTTAGAGCTCTTCATGGCTGACTCAGTGCTTGGGTTGATGATGGCAAACTTGTTTTTCCTGCAGGTGCTCTTGCAGGGCAGTGGGCTGCCACCAGAGTCCTAGTATGTTGGGCTTCTGGTAGGTACTGTAGTTTTGTGACTGTGGACCCCTTTCAGCAGTGCCTTCTTGGCCTGCAGAGTCTTCTCTTTTGCTTTGGTTTTACAAGGGTCATTCACTTCTTGCTTGGATTTCAGTGTCTTTTTTTTTTTTTTTTTTTTTGGTTTTTAAAGACAAGATTTCTCTTTGTAACAACTCTGTCTTGGAACTTGCTTTGTATACCAGGCTGGCCTGGAACTCACAGAGATCTGCCTGCCTCTGCCGTCCGAGTTTTAGGATTAAAGGTGTGTGGCTACACTGGCCACTTAACACAAGATGAGCAACTCTTTCTCCTCTTCTCAACTTGTTTTTATTTGTAAAAACAAAACAAAAAAATTCTATGTAATTCCTTAATGTATGGTCATTTCTGCTTATGTTTCTTTTGTATCCTTGACTGTTTCATTTTGCAAATACAATATTTATAGGACTATCATTCACCCAGTGAATACTTGAATGCTTCTAAATACAATGTTTGTAGGATTATCAATCATCCAGTGAATACATGAATGTTTCCTCTTTATTACTATTTTTTGCTTTTTTGTTTTTATTTTATGTGTTTTGGTGTTTTTCCTAAATGTGTGTCTGTAGAGGGTATCAGAAGCCCTGGAACTGGAGTTTCAGGCAGTCTTGAGCTGCCATGATAGTATTGGGAATTGAACCTGGGTCCTCTAGAAGAGCAGCCAAGTACTTTTACCGCGGAGCCGTTTCTTCAGCTCCATGCTTCCTCTTTATTCATTTATTTATAAATTTTTTCAGGACAAGGTCTCCTTATATTGCACAAGCTAGTCATGAATTTTTGGGCTCAATCATCCTCCTTCAATCTGTTGATAACTGGCCTGCAGGCACTTGGCATTGCATGCAGTGGGGCTGGGTCTCCAGTGTGCCAATCATTAGGGATAAAGCGGAGAGTGAAACAAATATACACTACTTTTTGTGGCTTTCTTCTACAGCAAGTAGCTAAGTAAAGAGTACTATTGTCAGAGCACGGGACAGTAGGATGACCATCGTCAGAGCACGGGACAGTGGGTTTGCAGTTGCAGGAGAGAATGCTTCTCTAGTATATCCTTTGAGCAAAGGTTTGGTGATGGGCAGACAGCCACGAGGATGGAGCTGAGGCACTAACAGCTCAGACAGTGAAGTTACAGGGCTAGGTTTGAATGTGAGGTGTGGGAAAAAGACTGGAGACAAGTCAAGTATGACCCCAGAGTGTTAGGCCTGGCAGCTGGGATGGTTTGCTATTTCCTGAGTTGGAAATAAGTGAGTGAGTGAACAGCAGATTTGATTTTGGTTTGACTTTGCAGAGAGGAGCAGATCAGGAATTTATTTGGGAGAAAGAACAGATTTGATATGCTATGATATACCTAAATTGAGACCTTTATTGATATTTGAATATGTGATTATGATAATTTTTGTTGTTGGGTCCTAAAAACATTTATTTTTGTTGTTGTTTGTTTTTTTAAATTTTTTATTTATTTTTTTGTGTGTGTTTTGAAACTGTCTCATGTAGCATAGACTGTCCTCACCTTCTGTGTAGTTGAGAATGACACTGAACTTTTCATCCTCATGTCTGTCCTTCTGAAGGACCATCATTTCCCCCTTGTGCTGGGGACTCTAGGGCCTCATGCATGCTAAGCAAGTGCTAGACCACTGGACTGTATGCATAGCTCTCTTTTTTGAGGTGGGATCTTGTGAACACACTGTAGGCTAGGATGGCCTCAAACTTAAGGTGCTTGCAAATGTGCTTCCTGAGTACCAGGTTTCCTGGTCTGTAGCCATGCTGGCCCAGCTTGTTTACTTTTGCAAATGACTTCCTTCCTTCCTTCCTTCCTTCCTTCCTTCCTTCCTTCCTTCCTTCCTTCCCTCCCTCCCTCCCTCCCTCCCTCCCTCCCTCCCTCCCTCCCTCTCTTCCTCCCTCCTACCCTCTCTCCTTACTTCCCTCCCTCTCTCCCTTTACTCTTTATGTGTACATTAGCACATAACCAGCTCATAAGAGCATAAGAAATTGGAGCTATTTGTGTGTGTGTACACTTTATAGAGTCAGTTCTTGCCTTCCACCTTCACATGGTTCCAGGCATCAAATTCAGATCATCAGGCATGTCAGTAAGCACTTTTACCCATTGAGCCATCTCAAGTTAGTTTTAACTAACTTAACAGTAAGTAACTCATAGTGTATACATAGGATAATAGTTAAATTTTATTATTAGGTGGCCTGAGGATGTTGTTACTGAGAACTCTGAGATGGTAGAGTTCTCATCTGGCATACATGAGTTCCAGAATTTAGTTCCCTGTACCATACCAAGAAAAAAAAAATCAGTGTGTATCTACTTATATTAACTTAAGTAAAAACTAAATTAAATGTTCAGTTCTGTAGTTATACCAGCCATGTTTCAGGGCCTTGATAACTTCCTGAAGTTAGTGGCTGCCCTGATGAAAATGAAAAGTATAGATATACAACATACCCTCTGTCACAGGAAGTTCTGTTCTGTCTAG